TGCAAAAGCGACCAAGATAGGTAATGATGTTATTCTATGTAGGGATTTTTCTAGAAATACGTCTCAAAGAGTTCGGTAGTGAAAGCATCGAGGTAATTGATTACGGTCTTGGAATCCCCGAGGCACAATTCGAAGGGATAAGTACGTTTTTTGCAGATTAATTATGATTTTTTTCGTAGCGAAAAAACACTGCACTTCGAAATTACGGGAGTTTGAAGATTTGGCAAAGGTGGCAACCTTCGGTTTTCGTGGTGAGGCACTTTCCTCGCTCTGCCAACTTGCGTGAGTCACTCTCAGACTATGTTTCTCCCTATCTTCCATTGCGCTACAGCTGGGAGTGGGTTTATTTCACGGATCTCATCAGACAGTATCTCTTCACTCGTGATTCCAGTTGCCGTTCCTGTTCAACGTGCTGGTTAAAGTCTACGAAGTTGCCTTACCTTTGAGTGATTAGAGCGACAGGAGATAGAAGGGAACAAAACGATTTCGGTTTTAACAAGATGTATATTGTATAAGACCGATAAATGTTTGAAGTTAATCACAAATGGATCGGTACGTTGTGTAATAGGTAATTGAAAGTAGTCACAGAATGGTCGGGGTGGGAGTAGGTGTCTAGGGTTGCTGCTGGTCCCCTTCCTTGGACCTCGCGAAATGTTCCCATACGACCGAGCGTCTCAAATGACTTTTCTTGTGGAAGCCCTACTCACTGCCTTTTCGTGGCGGTGTTTTGTCACCGAAGTGAAGAGACAAAAACCAGTAATCGGGGCTATAACCGAGTCGGTAAACCACTAGCAGTTCACCTAGGGGAGTTGGCTAAAATCCCTGATTCGAAACCAAACAAAAAGAGCGTACGAGCCACACGCACACCTTCCTGGTCGTGGTGGTGGTCATCGGCTCAATTGGGTATCAAGTGTATTGGGCACCTTGGACGTTGGACTCCGTCCGAATTTCTTATGATCCCATGACCTGGACACCGGCCTCCGTCAAATTGCGGTTTCCGCATACACCCCGCTTTCTTGCGGGTTAGGCTTTAGATAGCTGAAGGCTCCGGTTTGGAACCCCTTAAGAAAATTCACCTGCTTTGGTCTGAGCATCTAGCAGTTTCGTGCTGTAGAGCAAATCAGCGTTTTTTCTTTTTTAAAACGATTATTGTGCCGTGATTTGTTTGGCACACAGTCTGGATACAGACGCATGTGAAATAGGGCAACAACTAAAGGTCACTGGAGTGGCCAATAAGGATCACACTATTACGTGATTATCTAATCTACCAACACTGGCCTTTGTATGCAAAGTATGGCGTTCCGTTTCCCGCGAGCCTTAGCTTGGGTAACGCAGTCGTTTGTCTGATTTCATTCGGAATGTCTTTACTTACCTATGACCTCATTAGTATAAATTGGCTTCGTGTAAGAATTCACAAAGAATCCTGCATAAACTGGATTACTTGTTTCCCGAGGTAAAGCTGATGAGGAAAAGAGAGCACAGTAGATCTAGATTGCACTATTTATGTCATAGCAGATCTCACTGCATCACAATTAGTACAATACGACAGAAAACCAAAGTTTAAATTGTTGAACAGTACGTCAAACATACACGAATATGACGGGGCCGAGTGATCACTCCACCAAAGAAACAGAAGGGCTTCACCAGTGGCACTCAGCGTGTTTCTTTGAGTGCACACCCGTCCCATGCTGGCATTGTAATGTGCTACCTGTAAAACAACGGTATGATGGCCGGTCCGGATGTACACATGTCATGACCCTCGGGCATCGTCCCTTATCGTCCTTGACCGTTTATTTAGTGGAGTGATGTCCGCCTGTTAACATTTGGTCACCCATTTAATCTTTTTCTATCCACGATCCGGAAGTAATCTCAGAAGGGTACTACTCCGCTGACGGTAGGCCCTCACCTCCAGGAAGTGCGGCTTTGCAGTAAACTGAATGTCACGTATTTTGCAAATGGTTGATTAAGGTGTTTCAAATGCACCCGGCTTTACAATATTCGTTTGACCTTTACTTTTTATAGTATTGTAACGGAAAAAGATAATCGGAATGTAAGCCCATTCGGCTTCCTGGGTGGGTATTTATCTACTCACGTCCAAATCTGAAGTGAAATAATCTTATTACGTGGAGAAGTGTCTTGTTCTGCGTCTGCTGACGCGCTATATGCATAATGTGGCTGCTCCATCCGTCTGTTCCTGAGGGATTGAGTGTCTGCCACAGCAGTTCGCACTAGTCTAACGCCACGGTTCTGAAAAGTAACATTTTGTATTAGGAGCTAAACAAAACTGTTCTTTCAGGCTTCCTCGAGTCCTGAGTGAGAATTGATTCGTGTTAATCCCAACGGAAGGGTATCGAGTAATTGGGCTCGTAAACCAACGCAAGCGCATGATGCCCGTAGATTAAGATGATTTTGGCGTGTTACAGGATTGACTTCTTTGATGTATAGTCTTTGCGGAGATAGAGAAAAGGTCTTTAGTCGCGAGATCATGAAGGCCCAAAGTTGGTGACCCGTATGGTTTTTCGGATTGACGCAACCTGGGGATCAGCTTAATCTTTGATCCTAACATCATTGCACACGTCGATATATGCTTATACCTCAAAATGCTTCTTTCTGCAAATGGCACGTGCCTCTGAAGTAAATGGTTAGCGTTAGAATAAGATGAAAATAAACCTCACTGTTTCTCGTGGGACAGAAAACCATCTGTGACAAGCTAGCTTTTAGAACCATTCAGGTCATTAAGCAAACTCTCTTCAGTGTCCGTTCTGGGTTCAGAATCAGTTTGAACAACCATAAACATGTACTTTCATACGCCGGTTTTGCTTGCTGATTTTTGTATGCTTTTGTATGAAGGGGCACGGGATAGACAAGAAAGTTGGAAGTTGAGTCGAAGGAAAATGGAGGATTTCAGTAGAATAAGGTTGCGAAGAAATTGAGATGAGAGTTACTGTTTAGGACACTCAGTCACATCTCTCAGTGTCTTCAACCATCGATTACAATGGTCCTAAGGTCCCCTTCTAGAAATCTTAACGGTACCTATATGACCGAGTCTCCTGGTCAGGGTTTTCACACCCTCATACCAGGTCTTATTTTGACCACCCTTGACTTTTTTCACCCACTATAGGCCTCGGCAAGCATTGTGCGCTGTTCTGGATGGTGACGATTAAGCGTTTTTAATCATCACTAGTGTTTGGGACTGAGGTCTGTATTTCCAACCCTATCGATACTATTCATCATTGGTGGCTGACAGCTTCGTCGCTGTCACCAACCTATCCATGCTAAGATTAGCTTCTTGTGCCACGTCACTTAACGTACAGGATTCACATTTCTAGTTACCATAAACAACCATGAAGTTTGCTTAATTTTAGTTTTATGCGACCAGCTTCTGCGCGAGAATGAGATATATTTTTGGATGTCTCGGTTTACCGCTCTGCAGGCTTNTCGACCACCACCACTGATTTTCCGCGACGGTTTATTTGATACGGTTGTGCTCGCCTATTCACGGTTTACCAATAAGGTGACAGTCCTTCTGTCCGCAATCTGAAGCTGTGCTCGGTCAAACATAGATTTGTGACAGTCCTTGGTCTTCCGAGGCTTTATTCCTTCCACTGTGCATCATACAAAGAGTATGTAATAAAAAGTCTCCAGGTTAGTGTTATCTTTCTTCTTGTCCCATTTATCAACAATACACCGTTGTTGATTAGCCATAAAAACGGCCAGTTTGTGCACGATTACTGGTGTTTCTTAGTGCCCCAGCCCCAAAATGTTGAACCAACTTCCGATATTGTCCTTAACTGGTGAAAAAGAATTTCACATCAACTATCTGCTATCCTACAGGTCATACTTTGAACCAGTCAGTGTCATT